TGACTGTCATGCAAAGACTAACTCTTTAGTTGTAGTGATCTAGAAACATAAACGAATATTTGAGGTGGTTTTTGTTACAGACTGACATCAGTTGGAGGATACAGAAAAATTAAGAAGAATCAACTAGATATTACATCTGAGCTTGAGACAACCAAGCGACGCGCACCCATCAGGTAATACTGAGTCAAATAAGAGATTTTCAGATCTCACATTTAATATAATACTGACTAGTCACAGATTGAATTCTATGAGACAATTGTCACTCTCAACTATTTTGATCCATCTTGATGCTGTTCACCTAATCAGTGTGTGTTTGTTGTTCGATCAGGTACTTGGTTCAAGAACTTATTGTCTTGGATTGGATTCCATGTTAGTCCCTAGACGCCTAATTAAGGTGAAACGATTAGACAGTGTTTTTGGCTTTTGGCAATTCCCCAACAGGTATCAACTCGTGGTGAAAACCATCTTCATGCTGATCAAATGTCAACAGTTAACTCCATTCGACAAAAAAACAAGCACTTTTAGCTTACCGATAAATAAACGTAGAAAGAGGGAATCTGGGTGAAAAATAATTACTTGTCAGCGTCTCTCTACTGACTACATACAAATACGAAAGTAGCACCAGTAATCTCTAGTCGTTCTTGGATTCCTTGTAAGAACGATTGAGTGAAGTCATGAATCGCGTTTTTCTCGTCGATTATATCAACAATGACCAATCACCTTAGGTCAACAACTAACAAAAGAGATATGATCACATCCAGTAACTGTTGACATACATGTGAATATGCTACACATAAGACCAATCCTTTTTTGAATTCATTACATACACCGTTGGAGAACACAACGAAGAGATTAGTCAATAGCCATTTTAATATCGCCGATTTCGGTACTTTGATTTGCTTTACACCTGTTTTGGTTTTGCATCAGCAGTACTATTGCGAATTCGCAGAAGTATCTGGAGTGGAACAAACTCTATCGGTGAGACTAATTTAGCGACGAGTCAATCAGAAGACAGTATAAAGTAAAAATATATTACAAGAAATTAATGAATTACAGTGGATATTTTTCTTTTACATGATTAAAAAACTTGTTAAGGCTTGATAAAGGTTCAGAAGTTATGAATTCATAATGCATATGGTATAGAAACTCATCCATAGGATTAGGGTGCTAACATGCGATCGGTTTACATCGGATTTTAGAGGAGAGGCTACAACCCCAACCCTTACCCTAAAGCTAACCCTAGGCTACAACCCTAATCCTAACCTCTAAAATCCGTTGTAAACCGCTCGAATGTTAGCACCCTAATCCTATGGATGAGTTTCTATACCATATGCATTATGAATTCATAACTTCTGAACCATTATCAAACCTTAACAAGTTTTTAAATCATGTAAAAGAAGAATATCCACTGTAATTCATTACTTACTTATATTTTCACTTTATACTAGCTGTCTTCTGATTGGCTAATAATTGTCAAGGTCATTTAAGATTCGTTCGAAGATCGTCCCTAAATTAGAGTTTAGCCACTCTGTCTTCTCTGAAGTAGCGCTCATTGCAAATGCAACATCGTCGCGATGACTAATAAAAGCCAACTCGTGTTAGTCAAGTGTTTTGATTCATTTTAGTGATTTCTAGAAGCAAACAGATGTAGTTTCACTTAACGACAAATTCAAGTACCATTCAAGCAGATTGTGATGACGTGTTTGGATAGACTTTTTATCAAGTTCGTTTGAAAGTAACGAGTTGGATGCATAACCTGAGGGTTTTGAGTTTATTGCTATCAGGGTTATGTGTACGGACTGCTGAGTAGTTCTGAGGTAGCTAACAACAGTCCTTGTTTCTTAGCTTCTCAGACTAACGTAAACCCGTCATCAGAAATGTCATTCCTGAAAGTCGACCACGATTTTATGAGTTTTGTAGTCATTTACTTAGGCCATTCCAAAATTGTTAAGTAGCTTGTTTACAAAGCGCATCTCAAGTAGGTAGCTTCATGTGGCAGTGTTGTATTTTGATCTGAATTGGTTGGACAACGGTTTAAAATGTACTTTGAGTGACTTAGCCAAACTAATGGAGAAACACTTACAATACAATAGACCAATTATCTTCTCTTCGTAGTGTGACAATTACGAAGTGGGAGAATTTACTGGTGTGAGTCGCCTAGACTCAACTACGCTGACCAACAAAATTGATTAGCCGATCGGAATTATTTGAATACCTAATTGTCAGTCGAATTCAGTCTGTGGTGTGTGGTACTGATGTCGACAGACATTAGTAGTCTTAGTCATCAGTTGAAAGTGAAATGCCTGGCGGCAGAAGGTTAAGATCGAAGAGTAAAGAACGAGAACAGAGAGTGCTTGGTTTCGAAACGAAGGGTCAGTCAAATCCGAAGCAATTGATCAACATTTTCTAGATGAAGCATTCGCCGTATGGTTCTCAGATTTTACTAAGACGTTCTGTAATTTTGTATTCAAACATATTTGGTTGTTCTCGCTTGCATTCTCGTTCACTAGATTGCTACAAGCATCAATGTGTTTCAACATCTTTAAAGCAATTCATAGTGAGACAAGTTTCATATCACGTTACGCCATTCACCAAGCATTCAACAAAAACTTTAATTACCAATACAGGAACAACTAGTTTTTTGATCATTTTTGCCAGTTTTTAAAGTCAAGTATGGTGACTTTAATTAGACTGGGGTTAAAAATAACAATATTTAATAATCAAAAACATAGTAATAACAACAAATACATATTACTCAAACAAAATAACTGCGGTAAGTAGGAATGTATTAATAAAGCGAGGTGCTATACATGTTATGTACATGAAGAAATAATGATGTTCCACAATTTTACAAAACAAAGATGGAAAAGTATCTCCTAGGATAAGTCTCACTATTTAACTACTTCAATGGTGTACTTAATGCCTCCTCAAATTTACTTAGAGTTCGTTTCAAACCTTCTCTAAGATAAGGAGAGAAAAACAAAATAACATATTACACAAATAGGATATTTGCCAAAACATTTCATATTTGGTTATAGTATCGGCAAAGGATATTTGGACTGGCAAGTTTTTGGATTAGAAAATAATTTGCTTTGAAGTTAGTAGGTCTCTTGTGAAATTCAGAAAGGCTGTCTGATGAAAAATCCAATTTAATTCATTTTCGTACTAGGAACTTGTAATGAATGAGAACCACGGTCATCGATATCACCTGATAAGATCCACCAATAAGAATTATTCAACACCTTTTTCCCCTGCGAACAATATTTAGCACTTTTTCCGTAACTCGAACACTTAATTAGATTAATTTGTGTTGGATGGATGCGATTCTATGTAAGTAAACATAGTGCAAGTTTTTTCTAAATACATTTCTTTATGTCGAACCATCCTACCTTTTAGAGAAGAAAGCACATGTGGGACTAGTCGTTGGACGTGCATTATCAAATGTTTCTTAGAGTCCTCGTATATTGACCGTGTAGATGAAGATGTTCGGTACATCACCTACATAAAGGCAGTGGTATTTTGGTTTACTAAGAGTATCACATAATACGCCGTTTTGCACTTAAGCTAAAAATATATTGGTGAAAATGGGACCAAGGGGAGATCTCACTGCTACTTCATCTATTTGTCGATAACGTTTGTTTTTGTGCAAGAAGTGGGTGCTCATTATCAAATTCAATAAAATTCTCTTCACTTCATCTATTAGCATAAGTAACACCGTTCTTCTCTACAAGTTGTTTGCAAATATATTCAATAGTTTTAGTCAGTGAAATACCAATAAATAAAGACATTATATCCAAAGATGACATGGCTATTTTCGTTAGATTAATATTTCTTAATACATTTCCAAATCCAAATACTTCTTTTACATTGCGTTTCACTAACTTTCGATGTAGTGGTCTTAATAATTTCACGAGCCACTTTGCTGTTGAGTGGTACGGTGTGTTTGATAAATTCAGAATCGGACGTAATTGAGCTTATTGTTTTGACACTGTAAATAGGTCAAAAAGGTGTGGAGTGCGTGCTTCTGAACATTTAAGCATGTCAAAAGTAGAATGAGAAATAAATTGTTGTTGTTCTACAGATTTTAACGATGAAGTTGGTTGATGTTCCATCTTTTCTGCCAGGCCTTTACATAATCCTAGTTTATGACATTTAGTTTGATCATCAAACAGAAGACCAATTTATCTATAGAATCAGTCTTGTTTAAAATTACGACACCTGATCCTTTATCTAGTTTCATTATTATTAAATTTTTACTCGATCTCAGTTTTCAGGGTGGCTTCTCGAGGTTTCCTAGTCAATGTCCTCTTTATGTTGTGTTTGCTGCTTCTAAATTGGTTACAGTAGTCAATTAATGTCATCTTAAATTCTTCTATTTTGAGCTTACTTGAAGCTACGAAGTCTTGTGTCTGGATTAGTAGATTTTTAAACTAATCCTTTGAAAGCATTAAATTTTTGTTCCTTCTTGTTTGCTGTACTTCTGAAGCATATGTCACAACTTGATCCTCAGGATTTCTAAGAACACTGTCAATAGCATATAATCTAATTTAGTGATATGTACTTGAAGTATTTTGATTTTGTTCACAGCATATCTTTTCAGTGACTTGACATTAGATTCGACTTTATATCGATAGAGTGATTTGCAAACCTGTTTAGGATAACGTTTGGTCAGCGTGAAATGAAAAATGAAATTCAAAGTGGTTTTTGCTTCTGTGAGGTTTGTACTATACTTTGGGCACTTAGTGAAGAGACTCAGTACAGCTAAGTACTCATCGAAATTTAGCAGTTTAATAATTTTCATAGGATATTCAAGAACAGAGTATTCCAGGCTCGCCCGATTGAATCATCTTAGTATATCCACTCTTTATACTACAGGCGAGTTAAAAAATCATTATATCAAATAACATACAATGATGACTGAATAATCGGAGTGACAAGAGTTATTAGTGATATATGTACACATGTTTAAGACAATCTGAAGAAAGATATAGGGAACTCACATTTCTTTTTTTAACGGTTCCAGCTGAGACATAGATTTGGATAATTCTTCGCACTTGGCCATCAAAACATAAGTGGACTAAGGGGGAAACAAAAGTTCTGAAAATATTCCAACAATAGTTAAGTATTTCAGATACAAATAATACATCTTACGTTAATCAAAGTATACAAGGCTTTACTTTAACTGGTTGATTGCTATAATGACAAGGGAATCCCTGTTTTCTCAAACTATTGAAACTTCCTACATTGTTGAACCTTATAGTTTTAGAATGCACTGGGGATTTGTGCTAAATTCATATTAAGATGGTGTTGTTAGTAAAATTATTGTTTACAAGCGGACCATAATGCATGAACTACAGTACATCTACAGTTGGGATTAGTGGTCTCTAATCCGAACCAAGATCATTAAGAGTATTGCGTAAAGTTGCCCAGTACTTATAAGAGCGTTAAGCATAGCAATACACTAGGGTTATTTTTCATATTAAATTTTGGAAATGTACCAGTCCACCGTGAGATACCTTAAAATCACACTTGTGAAAATAAAATTATGACCCATTTCTGGTCAAGTAAACTTTCAAAGATAAGAAAGGCACAGTGGTTGAGTATGTTGATCATTCCACACTATACTTATTTCATAAAACGGTTTCTGTCGAATCAGTAGAATGAGTCACTATATAAACGTGAGAGCAGGCAATAAATGATAAGACGGAGCATTCACTGAAGCATGTCAACGTTCATGCTGAAGCTACGCCAAAAATGTCGTATACATATATATGTGTACAAATAAATAAATAAATAATGTACTCAACTAGATAACCGTTATTCAAGATTTCGACTTTATATAAATAAAGAGCCCTTAATGAGGGTATTCATAGAAACCTAAACCAACCTTAAATGTGGTAGTACAGACACTGAGAAATTATGGCTAGTAATGGCCGTACATTTTCAAACTACCGATGTCAACTCGCCATTTATCAACAAACTAACCTTTATACATGCACCGATAGTTTCACAAGCGTAATCCACGGAATCTGAAAATACAGTTGTACAGTCCAAGGTAAGACTTGACATCTAAGACATAAAGAAAACAGTACGCCATTATGTTGGTTTCAACATGAAAGGAGCAAGAATGACGAAGAGGGAATTACAAGAAAAGGAGGTAAATAGAACTAAAACAGTAGTGTCCTTATCATTTGGACGAAGATAATATTTAGTAACTACAATCATGTAAAATGGGATATCAGTTTGAAATGGCCTTCACCCATCACTGTTTAAATAGTCAAGTGGTGTGAGTAGACCTTTCGGAAAAGATGTCTATGGCATATGGGAAGCATTTATGTGATCAAGGAGTCATATTTTTAGAAACTACGAATTACATCTAACCTTACCAATATTTTATAAGCTCAACGGGCTACTGTATAACATACAACTTAGCTTTTCAGCTCAAAGTTTGATTTTGTGGCACTCTTTGTATAGTCATGACCCATTTAGACGTTAAACAAATTTTGGAAATAGCATGTGAGATAAGTTGTGCTGGAAAATAAACTGCACGACTTTTCCAGATTTATTAATACTAAAGACACTCGAAATGGTGATTTGTAGTTTAGGTGGAGTTCCGTTCTTTGGCCTGGTCGTAGAGCCTTCATTGTTCTCTTGAATAATATCACCGGCACAAAATTCACTTATACCTAAAGTGTAGTCATATTTAAAAGTTAAAAAAGTGAAAAATCGCGTTGATACTGGAGTTTGTTTACGGTATGTCACTATGAAATAAAATATTTTATCCAAATGAAAATGGCGCATTTGATACTTCCCTGACGAACCGCCCATGTAGGTGGATGCCGAATACCCACTTGGACAAAAGTCAGACATCTACATCCGACTAGTCAGTATTCCCGGGGTAAATTATGATATATTATATAGTTTTGAGATGAGATTTAAAAACACTTTGAATTTACTTATCTGTTAACTGAGTATGCAGCGACATTAAAAATACGGCACTAACGAAACTGTGTGAACTAGTTTACAATCAGCAGGAAATAAGATCCCAGTTATTGACTCTACGACAAGAGGGAACGTAGCGAGCCAGGAACAATAAGAAATGAGGCTAAAGGTCTCGAAACTCTATGCTTTCCATGTAGTTCGCCCATGATATTGTTAATTGGTCATCTGAATCATAAATATCTATCGGTGAATGAATGTAATCACATTTGCACTCAAAGAGTGGCTTACAGAACATGGAGAGTAACACTTGGGATTATAATGTTAAGTGTTACAGTATATTGTAAATAAATAAAAGAGTAACTTAATTCTCCAGTTACCCAAGCAAAAATGGGGGAAATAAAGACAAGCTTTGGAGAAATACATCACCTGTTTCTTCTTTTGCAGATCTTTTCAAATAACAATGGATTGGCAATTACAAAGAAACGCATAACGATTGATGCTCAAGCTTCTGCTATGATGCTGTATAATAATAGTCTTTCTTTTTAATAAATTTATTTAAAGATATACCATTTTTCCCGTGGATTGAAGTTTTAATGTGGTGTGTTGTGGGAATAAAAGCGAACATAAGAGACCTTTGAGGTTATGCCAATGGTGTTTCGAAAGGTTTAGCAAAAGTAGATAATTCGGCGTGTATTTAGGCGAAAAGTAGACAATTCAGCGACATTTGAGAGACAGAGGGACAAAAAGGGGGAAATCCGCATTATTTCCCCTGGGCAGGAGAAAAATCAGACATTTTGGCACGTTTCCCCCTTATTTTCCAACGCATTTTCCTTTCCCCTTTGTTGGTTGATTGGGTCAGACATGTTTGCAGCTGCCCATCACGATAACACAAGTAATTCACTTTACAATCTCATATGGAGGGATTAATTACGAAATACCTGGTTTAATGTAGACGTTAATGAACGAAGCAATGAGTCTAAATTATTTGCTATCCCTTCTGCACTCTTCTCAAGTTCTGTCAAAATCCCGAGCTGTAACGCACACATCAAACTAACATAATAGTTTCGAATGTACAATTAATCTGACAAAATACAAACTACGTGAACCTTTATTGCCCACGAATCGATGGTGAGGAACTACTGTACTCGCTTATAAGCATCTGCCTCTGTAGCTTCAACAGTTATTATAGATTTTATCAGCATCACTTTTTTATTCACATGAGCAGTGGTTTCAAATTGTTCTTTTGCTTAACATGTTTCCGAATCCAATAGTAGTGGATCACCAATGCCTCTGAGTAGGAACCTAGGTATTTTAAACGATAAAAGAGAAAGAGGAAGAAGAAATTGTAGATTGCAGCGAGATACTGTCTATTGTTCTTAAGTATATGTTAAGTTTCCTCTTAAAGTACTCATGAGGAGTCATTTAGACTAGCTCAACAGGCACCAAATTCCAGCATTCGACTACTCTCAAGGAGTAGAAAGTGGGTCTGCAATCCATTCTGAGATGTTGTGTCTCCAGATTCTGGGTGTTACTCCTAAGTTTTGTATTGGGACTAAGCTCAAGTAGGTGTTCAAGGGGATGCCTGAAAGTGTTAAGGATGTTGTAAGTCTTTAGGACACCTCTAGGACGCCTGTACTCTGATGGGCAAATATTCAGCGACTTTAGGCGCCCTTCGTAAGATTTAAATTCGAGTCTTCGAACTGATTTCGTGACTGGCTGTAGGATACATTGCAGTGTGTCCTTATATTTTTAGAGTGGTGGAGGAAACCCTATAGTTCCCTACTTTGAGTGAGGTCGAATAAAATTGTTGAGGATTGTGTGAGAAGTTCTTTCGTCGAACTGGCGCTTCAGTGTTAACAGTGTAGGGTTTGCTTGGAAGGAATTTTTTGTCTCAGAGCGGGACTTCAGATCGTGGGTTACGAACACTCCTAAATCATTTCCAACTTGGGATACTACTGGAAGGGAGTTACCTGAGTTGTAGTTGTAGTCTGCAACATGTTGTAGCGTGGCGTCGAGTTGAGATTAACTGTGAACACCGCTATTAAGAAACACGTGCCAGATAAATCAGAAGGCGAGGGTTGAACGTAACCAGATTTTTTCGTTGGCGATCTCGTGGTATTGAACGAATACCGAGATCGTGCCAAGAAAAGGTACAAGCGAAAGCAGAAGACAGGAGTACGTGCGAACAGTACCAAAAACCGCGGAACAATGATGGAAGGTAATGGAAGCACAAAATGGCTATAATTAGCACAGTTAAACAAAAACACATTAAAACAAACAATGGTACAGTTGGTTATAATAATAATTGTTTTTATTAAACCAGTCGTGTTCTCGTGATAAACGTGAGTCACTACAATGTATCAGATGGACCAATTAACACTTTGAAGTGTTGAATATAAGTCTGTTGTCATCTGCCCATCTTTGAAGTTGAGTCAGATTCTCTTGAAGTGCCAGTTTATTCTCTTGATGTTGAGCTTAGTTCCAGCGTTTCACACCATAAGTAAAATGTAATAAATCCGACGGTGCCTGCTGTGGAAGATCATTTATACAAGTGATGAAAAGAAGGTACCTAGTACTGGCGTAACTGACCAAGACATTCCATAGTCTGAGAAAAAGTGAAGTAAACACTAACCCTAAAATATCGATTATTTAGATTTGAAGTGAGCTAATCAATTTAAGGTGATTTGATACCTTACGATCAATGATGGTTGTTCACCTGTCCACCTCTCTCAGCAGGTTGGTTATACGAGTGTGACCTATTCCGAAACTGTGCTGTCGGAGAGCAATTTTGTTAACAGGTAGTTACACAGACCATAGAACATCAGGGACTGCATAAATTTTGAGGGTATTGAGAGAAATGCTACCGGCCTGTAAGTTGAAGGTTCGCTGTGTCGAACTCTTTTGAAAATTGATATGTAGTGGCATTGGGCCATAATCACACAATCCTCAAAGCTGAACACGAGACAATTAGTAAATGTTATAGCCCAAAGCCGCCAATCAGAAGCAGCGAATCATCGATCGGACCAAAGACTCGTAAAACACGTGCGAGCAGCCTGGAGTCCTTATTGATCTCTCTTCCTGTCTAGCCCAGTCAATGAAGTCCAGAACACCAATCTCATCCATGTAGCATTTACGATCTAAGGAACCATAGCTGATTTAATGAGCCATTCGCGGTTTCACCGTTTTAAGGTATGTACTTAGACATGCATGGCTTAATCTCTGAGACAAGCATATGACTACTGGCAGGATCAACCAGTTTGTTCACAGTTATATAATATACCCTTGTGGGCCAGGGTAATTTTACATTGGTTTTCAGGAGAACCAGACACCATCCGGACTCTCACGTAAAAACCCGAACAGTGCAGCTCAACCCCGTTTAGCAGAGGAACCAGACACCGTACAGGCCTTAACGCTACAATCTGAATGGTACAGCTCAATCCTGTGGCGCAACCACACAGGTACCAAGAACCCTGGTGGACCATTCGCACCATTCATATACACACTCACATCGCATGTATAGTTATTCCGATCAATGATCGCGCGATTCAATTATGCACAGCACGAACAGGCCAAAGTTGACCCATTCCGCTTACACGACAGTCAAACTCGTTAATATTAGCAATGTCTCAGAGATTAAGCCATGCATGTCTAAGTACATACCTTAAAACGGTGAAACCGCGAATGGCTCATTAAATCAGCTATGGTTCCTTAGATCGTAAATGCTACACCAATCTCATCCTCTGCAATATGAATCATTACATTTCAAACAGATCACAACGTAGCATAACATAGAAAATAACATTTTACAAAATCTGCTCAAATGTGGCTGTGAATGTGGGAGACAGTGACAAATAGTTAGGGCATAATTCAAGAATGGTAAAACGCATAACAATGGTTCATAGGTCAAAATAAAGTTTATTATGAGAGGAATATGAATATGAATAGTTTACTTATTTAACAATTATACGATAAAAATATACGTTTAGTATTGGTCCGTAAAAGGGTCAAAAAGTTAGCACTTATTATATTTATTGGGACCTAGCAGGAAAGTAGATGTTTAACATTTAACGCGGAGAAAAGCCCAACAAGGTGAAAGGCGGGATCAAAGAACTGAATTGATTCGAATTGATTGGATGGTTTAGCTCGGCCTTGCAGGCGTCGTCCCTGTTGAATGTCATCTTATTGTCTTTTATTCATGTCAAATGTATTGTTCTATCTCGAGCCTAAGTCTGTTCTCCACCATGTATTGGTGACTGTTACAATGCAATGAGATGGTGTGGGCGATGATATGACTTCCACGTAAGATCTTATAAATTAGGCAGTTATATCATGACAAATCTACAATTTTAGGATTAGATCTATCATTAGGGTTGTACTATTATAATAGTAGACCATAATTCTACAGATATAATGTGAACCAAACTCTACTTTTCTGGCAACGTTCCTTGGTTTGGCGAATGTAAGGACATTACACCAAGCGGTGTTGTCAGTGTTGAAGCCGCCTACCTCAGTATAGCAGAGTGGACCATATCAACGCCAGGAGAAATGTCCGTGTTTATAAGATGCAGTTTCCGACACACCGAGTCGGCCCTCACACTCTTTAAAGCAAATCATATTGAGTTGCGAACAAATTTAGTATGGGTTGGTTGAAGTGTACGAAGGCACTTGCTATCAAAGGGTTGGGGGCGTCGCTTTCGTGGCTGGTTGAGCCACTAGGACCTAGTAGTTATTGCCATTGTGCGTTGGTTTCATGCTTGTTTGAATTATCTGTATACGCTGTTGATACCGGTTCGTTTGTACTCAGTCTAGTAGCGCATTATGCTGCTCACAAAATGAGGAGGGCTATTATTGATGAATGTAGGTTGTTTGTGGTTCATGAAGACCGTACGCTGAACAGACTTTTGAAGCACATAAAATCATGTGCAGTA